GACTCGGCAGGCGGTACAGCTCAAAAGACTGCCTCTATACACGTGCAGAATCATCGAATCCCTACCATTGGAAGAAGGTCATTCAGCCCAACAAGTCCGCATGCCACCTTGTTTCAGGGAGCAGAATCTATCATTAAACTGCTGTGTGTGTTTCACTGTACAAGTGAGCACAATGTGAATGCTTTACAAAACAGTTATATCTTAGTGGCATTCTGGTGACAAGTGTTGTTGAATTTATGTAATCACAGTCTCAAAGCTGCTTATTGCAAAAGGTAGTGTAACTCTTACTTTAAATTAAAGTTTTTATTTGTTCGGTAAATTGCAGAATGGAACTTATTGAGTACTGTAATGCTCATTTATGCAAGAGCAAACTCCCTGGTTCTTGGGAGGCTAAGCAAACAGTGTTTGGAATATATCATCCAGTACTCATTGTATGGAGAGCTCGACTGGTCACTTTATAAGCAAGAGAATCTTGTCTACTTGCTTGAAGTGCGCATCATACACAGTACTGCATGCGAAAGAGGTTCCCAACTATGGTTAAATTGTTTCACTGTTTCCTTATGGTATAGTCTGTCACTGAGTAACTTTGACTATCGTGATGGCTGCTGTGTATTTGCTTAACCACCGTCTGTCTTGTTTGGGGAAAGAGTCAGAATGATGTGCAAGCCAGGGGTGGTGCTTTATTTTGTTTTAATCTTTGACAGGATGTTGTCGTGACACTGGCTAGATAGCATATATTACCCATCCCTAATTGCTGTCTAAGGTATGGCTGAGTTACTACTTTGAATTACTGCACTCCTGTTGAATTATAAAACATAATAATTTGCTGCCTCTGTTCAGCTGGACAATCTCAGCCAAGAGTTGTGTAAGAAAAGGAAATATCAGGGAGGGTTTCCGATCTTGAAGTGGATCCAAGCTAAAGATAGAACAGATCTGAAAGACTGAATGGCCTCTTGTTGCTATCCCTTTAATCTCTGGGTATGCACATTCAATTTGAACAGCAACTTGCGTGACTCCTGTGCTTGTTACTTTCAAAGTTCTCTGTTTTAGGTTCGTGAAAAATGACAACTTTTGGATAACGCATGGAATAAGAACAGTAGGCCATTCACCCCCTGTGTTGCCTTTCAGTTGTGACTAGTGTTCTACTTCAACTTTACTTTTTTGCATTATTCACATTTCTATTCCTTAATTCCCTTTTTTTATTCAAAAATTTTGAGCCATTTTTGTTTAGAAGTTGTGCAGCAACTGATCATCTACACTCCCTGGGTAGAGTGCTCCAAAAATGGATAACCCTGTGGGCAAGTCTCTCCTCACCTCAGTCCTGACCCTGCCTGATTGCATTGAGATTTCCTGAATGCCTTGCTGAAATCTCCTTTACAGATTTTAGCATTTTCCCTGAGTCAAATGTTAAGCTTGACTGGCCTGTAGTTTCACACTTTGCCTGTCTCCTTTCTTTAGAAGAGTTGCATTTGCTAGTTTCCAATCTAATGGGACCTTTCTCTGGAATCCAGGGAATTTTTGAAAATTACCACCAATGCATTTACCATCCCAACAGCCACCGCTTTTAAGACCCTTGGATGAAGTCCTTCAGGTCCTGGACACTTGCTGGCATTTTTCTCCCTTGTTCACTTGTGGGATGTGGGTATCACTGGCTGGCTAACATTAATTGCCTGTCCTTGAGAAGGTGGTGGTGAGCTGTCTTCTTGAACCTCTTTTGGATCTAATAGTTTTCGCTGTACTCGTTCCTTTGTGATTGTCACTGTTTTAAGGTTCTCCCTTTAAGAATTTCTGGGATGTTATTTATGATTTTTAAGGAGAAGACTGACGAGAAAAATTCCACCATTTCCTTATTTTCCATGGTTAAATCCCCAGACTTGCAACTGCTTAAAAAAATTTTTCTTGCAGCTTTTTTTTTGTCAGAAACAGACCCTTCAGTCAAACATGTCCACACTGACCAGCTATTCTAAACTGACGTAGTCCCATTTGCCAGCATTTGGCCCATATTCCTCTAAACCCTTGCTATTCACGTACCCATCCAGATGCCTTTTAAATGTTGGTACTGTACCTGCCTCCTCCTCTTCCTCTGGCAGCTGTTCCATACATGAACCACTGTGTGGAAAAAGTTGTCCCTCAGATCCCTTTTTAAATCTTTCCCTTCTAGCCTTAAGCCTATGCCCTCTAGTTTTGGACTCCCCTATCCATGCCCCCACATGATTTTATAAACATCTATAACGATACCCCTCAGTGTCTGATGCTTGGGGGGAGAAAGCCCCAGCCTATCCAGCCTCTTCCTATTGCTCGGACCCTCCAATCCAATCCAATTCCTACCTTTGAGCCAGGAGGCACCTCCTCCTCCAGAGGTGTGTAATATATTTGTGAACAGGTTGATTAGAAAATATCAATAACTCCACCTTGGAACTGCACTATAGGATCGGCTTGAAATTGGAGCTCAAGGTGTGAATTTGGCCTTGAATCGTCAGTCTTCTGACTCCTGTATTGGGAATGTTGACTAGTGAGGTAAAATGAATACAGTATATTGTGTGGAAGGAGAGTACGGCTCCCTTGCACTGTTTAGTGATGCCTGAAGCCTAGCCTAGCCCTTCTGATGGGGGAAGAGTTAGAAGTGCTCACATCTGTAAATAAGTAATAAATTCCAATCCATTAATGTAATATTACATTCTGATATGTCATATTACAATGAGTCTTTAACTTGTCTGAAGTCTGACCCTGGCCTTTCAACATTTTGTTTATGTGGCACCCCTAGTTAAAAGGGTTGAAGTTCAATACTACTACAATCACCTCCATTTGCAAATAGCCTGTGCTAGAAATTGAGACTCTTCTAAAGATACTTTTAATCAACCAGTTCAGATGTTATGATCCACCTCTGAAACAGGTGGGCCTTGAACTTGGGCGTTCTGGCCTGTGCTACCACTACGCCTCAGATGTTGAGGTCCTTTGGAGTGCAATGTCCTTTCATGAAGAGACAACTGAAAGCAGCCAGTAATTTTAAGTTAATATTTACAATATCAGTTTTATTGTCTTTTGGGTTTTGGTCACACTTGGTGCTCTCAATTCTGAGATCTGCTAAAGCTCCTGTGGAGTACAGTTTAACGACAATCTAGTGAAATAGATCATCACCATCGAGTGGTTTTATACAAGCTTAAAGTACACTTTTGCTGTTTTATTTTGCTAAGATTGAATGTGCAACTAATTAGGTTTATAAAGTCCTCCCTAACCAATGTGTCAATTAGTTCTGAAGTGTTAAACAGCATTTGTTGGACAAATCCAACAACTGATTTGTACACAGCAAGTTGCAGAATTAGATATTTGGTTAATTTGTCTTTTGATACTGAGGGAGGGATTTTGGCAGGACTCTGGAGTGTTCCCTTCCCTATGAATAATGATTTAAATAAGGTCCTTTTATATCTACCTGAACAGATGATCTGAGTTCTTGGCTAAATTTCTAATCCAAAGTCATGGCAATTTTGACAGTGTAGTACTGTGCGGTGTTTAGTTTACTTGCTGAAATGGGACTTAAATCTACAAGTTTGTGCAATTGGCCTAAAGCAATTACTGTTGTCATTGCAAAATTTACAATGGTAATTTTATCTTTGGTATTGGTGACAGAGCTATAAGGTATGTTTGACTTTGACAATACTGTTGGGCTTTGCTGTGCCTGTTTCAGGAGGCAAGCTCCACTTTGACTATTGCGTTCAGGCCTAGGGGTTTTGTATAGCTTCTCCTGTTTGAAAGGTAGTAACATATTCTCAGCCAGGAAAGAGCCCAGATTTTTTGTTTTTTTTTTTGTAAATTTAACCTACTTTTCCTAATCTACCTGTTCAGAGAAGTTATTACACACCTTTTGGAGCAGGTGGGACCTAATCCCGGGCCTCTCAGTCCAGGGGTACGGACACTACCACTGAGCAACAAGAGAGAGCCAAGTGAGATGAGAACTAGACAAGGCAAATTAGTCAAACAAGCGCGATTTCTGACAATATAATAAACACCAGCCAGAGAAACATTGCCACAGCTTTAGCAATCATGTGTAATGTTCAGCCTAACCATGCACCATGAACACTACTTGAACATTTAATTCTGGGTGTTTTTATCTGCTATGTAATTGCAATCTGTTGGGAGTTTATCAGCAATTATTATTTGCCAAGCAGAATCGAGCACAAGTTGCTTATTAAACTTGCATCTACTAGTGCACTCCCACCTATCTCTTCCCTGCTATAACTCCTGCATGGGCATGTGGAGCAGTTAAGTTTGGAGTTGTGAGTAAGATGCATATGGCTGTTATTGTCTTTGGCCATTTGCTTAGAGAATCCAGCTGTGTGCAGATGTGTTAATAGAATGACAATAAAATGACAGTGAAATTTTGAAATTTCTGTCCTTTTAAAATTCACCTTGCTGGCTGAATGCCTGTGGTTAAATGTGCCATTGATAAGGGTTGGGCTCGTTGAAGGGTGGTCCAAATAACAACCATATAGGTTGAGAAGGTTTGCCCCCAGTCTCAGCCAGGCAGGCAGGACTGGCACTGTACTTGTCAACTCTGCTGCTAGAGATGGGGACTACAAAACCCAGCAGGAAACTGTCCATTTTCCCCTCGTTCCAGGTGGATGTTTCAGTCCCTCTTTCCAATAGCTTGCAGGCACTTGCTGTTTAGACTTCACTCTGCATGAGAGGTTGCTGGATTAGTTGAGCTGTACCCTCTTCTCTCGAGTTACTTAAGGGGAGTGATGCCTCGCAGTGAGTGAACACTGCAGTTTTGAGTTGGATAGTTATGGTTTCTAATCAGTGGCGGTGGTGGTTTGACACACCAGTAGAGCAGATGGGACCTGAATCCAAACTTCCTGGCCAAAAGTAAGAGAAGCTATCATTATGCCAAAACAGCCCATGGTAATGATTTACTCTTAACTTGTTCAAGTGGTCCTTATGGACTGAGAGTTACTGGCTGATGGTGGGATGAATGATGTTGACAGTTGTATGTTTCTTTGCAGATTGTGCAGTGAATGTACACAAGAATTGTAGGACACTTCTAGCTGAATGTACCACTCCCAAGAGCAAGGTTAGTGTATCTGCTTTCTTTTTTTTTCAAGGTGATGTTTATTCTAGTTTTGTTGCTGGTGCATCGATTATTGCGTTAATCATCACCTATCCTGTTTGTGAGATGGGTGAGGGTAGTTTCTTTGGAGTCATTCTAGCTCTGAAGAAATGAGCCTAGATCCAACTTCATTCACAGTTGCACCCTGGATATCAGTTGCTGCAATAGGCAGCTTTCTAGTAACCGAGTACCTGAGCAGCCAGCCTGGCTCTGGGCTGGAACCTGGACAGGTTTACTTCTGTCTGAGAGCTGGGAAGATACTTCTCATTTCAAGCCAACGTTTTCCTGTAAGATGCCCCAAATTAGTCAAACAGCATGAAGCTTATCAATGCTCCATGCAGATTAAGACTTGACTTTGGCAAAGTCATTTCATTTAGCAGATTGTATCCTTGCTGTTGGAATTGAGACACTTTGTACTGTCTAACTGATTTTTATCCCTCAAACTTTTCAATTCCTCATTTATCTTTTCATCCAGTTGTCCAGACTTCTCGGAACCAGGCAGCCTTGCTGTCACCTCTTGAGAATCAAGATTTCCTGCTTTTTGTTTATCTCAACTTTGTTCATTTCATGCTGTGAATGTTGGCCATTCTCTGATTTAAAATTAGGAATTACACCAGCGAGGTCTCATTGAAGCTGATGCATTTTTAATATTTTGAGATACTCTCCTTGTTTGAGGACCACTGGAACTGCATCCTGGTTTTATACAGTCTCAAAACCTGCGTTGACAGATTTTTTTTTACAGCGCTGGCCCTGTGTCACCAGAATTGTATTCTGCTTCTATATACTGATAGACCTATATTTATCATCTGAGAGAGTGAAGGCAGAATGGCATGTTCTAAAACATTGGCACTAGTTAAAATATTCTAGCAACTTCATTGTAATTGGGTGTAATAGTTTGAAAAATAAACTACACACCAATGTAGGATCCCCAGGGTCTCCTTATGTATCTCGTTCAGAAATTCACAGTGGGCTTGATGTAGTAACAGTTTTAAACGTGCTACTCATCTGTAAATTGGCCATTGTCGTGGGATGTGGGCATTGCTGCCTAGGCCCCGACTTGATTGGCTGTCCCTAGTTGATCTTGAGGATGTGATAGTGAGCTGCTTCTTTAAATTGCTGCAGTCCAGTTGTGGTCTTTGTTTAAACTTTGAAGTGATTGGTATAACTGAGCGGCTTGCTAGATCATTTCAGAGGACAGTTGAGAGTCAACCGTGTTGCTGTGGGTCTGGAGTTGTATGTAGGTCAGATCAGGTGGTATTAGATTCCCTTCTCTCGAGGGTATTAGTGAACCAAGTGGATTTTTCTGACCATTGGCAATGGTTTCATTTGTTAACATTAGATACTTCATTAAATTTAAGTTCCACCATCTGTGATGGGATTCGAATCCATCTTCCCAAAGCGTTAGCTGAATTTCTGGATTAATAGTCTAGTGATAATACCCCTAGATCATTAACTCTGCTGTCTATTGTTTTATCTTTGTCGTTGATTGAAGTGTGAAATTTTAAACTTCATCTAATGCAGTTGAATTTTGTTGCTTTATACCTACCAGAATGGGAATGGTCAGAAATAGTGCGTGTGTAACCTATGTATATTCAAGCTTCTGTTTGTTTAAAGGGATAGGCAAATCTAAATTAGGTACTGAGGCTGATTAGGGTGACCTGTGGGTTTTCTGGATGCTTATGAAATGTGCAGAAAGTTTACACTTGGCCAGTTGAAACGTACTCGTTGTATAAATTGTGACTTGAGTCTTCTGAATTGGTTTAAATTGAACCCGAATTTGTTTGATAGTTGTGAATTGTGTCTTTGAATAACTGACTGCAGCTTCTTCCTGTGGTGGGCTGGAAAGGTGCACTTGGGGATTCAAGCAAAAATCCCTTGCTCTAGGGAATCCCAGAATGGTTACTGCATAATGTGGCCATTCAGTCAATCATTGTCTCTCCAGTCCACTGAAGGAGTAGTTCCACCTAGTGCTATTCCTGACCTTTCCCTTGTTCCCTCTGAAATGTTTTTGTTTTCAGGATAATGTTTGCATCACACGTAGACAGGATGGTTAAGAAGGCATTTAGCACACTTTCCTTCCTTGCTCAGACTTTTGAGTATAGGAATTGAGACATCGTGTTGAGGTCATACAGGACATCGAGGCCTCTTCTGGAATACTGTGTCCAGTTCTGGTCACCCTGTTACAGGAAGGATATTATTAAGCTGGAGAAGGTTCAGAAAAGGTTTACCAGGTTGTTGCCAGGAATTGAGGGTTTGAGTTATAAAAATAGGCTGGGACTTTTCACTGGAGCACAGGAGGATGAAGGGTGACCTTGCAGATGTTTATAAAATCATGAGTGATTTAGCTAAGATGAATGGCAGGTGTATTTTCCCTAGTGTGGGGGATTGCAAGACTAGGGGGCAAATTTTTAACGTGAGAGGAGAAAGATTTAATAAAGGTATGAGTGGCAGTCTTTTTACACAGAGTGGTTTGTGCAAAGAATGAACTTCAAGAGAAAGGGTGGATGCGGGTACAGTTACAACATTTAAAAGACACTTGGTTAAGGACATGAATAAGAAACATTTGGAGGGATCTGGGCCAAGGTTGGACTATTTTAGTTTGGGATTATGGTCAGCATGGACTGTTGGACCGAAGTGTCTGTTTCCATGCTGTATGACTCTGACTGTAATGATTCCATTCACATTTGAAAGCCTCAGTTGGCCCTACTGCCACACTCTTGGGCACTGCATTCCAGATCTGCCACACTTGTTGCATACCTTTTTGTCGATCTTGTTTGCTTTGCCAGTCACTGTAAATCTGTATCCGTTGGTTCTCAGACCTTCTGCTAATGAGTACTGTTTCCCTACTGACTTCGTCCTGACTCGTCATAGCTTTGAAAACCTGTATCAAATCTGCTTTCGACCTTCTCCTCAACACGTTCCCAACTTTTCTGATTTACTTATGTAACTGGTTCCAGGGATGAGGAACTCCATTCTCTTGAATCTTTTCTGCACTTCCTCTAATACTTTTACATCGTCAAGTGTGATGTCCAGAACTTGACACGATATGGTCATTTGACCGAATTGGGATTATTATGCAGGTATAACAGAACTACCTTGCTGCTGTATTTTATGGCCCTAATGAGAAAATCCCAGAGTGCAGTAGATATTTTCTAATTAACCTACTGAGAAATGTTATGACACGCCTTGAGACCAGGTGGGTGCAGAGGCAGGGAGTCTACTACTGCATTACAAGAACCCTTCCAGGGTGCTGTATGCTTTGGTAACTCCACTCTCATTCTGTCCTGGCAATGATTAACAGCTATATCAGGTCACACTGCTTCTACGCTACCTTTTGAATTGTACCCTTTATTTTCTATTTGTTTCTGTGTGTTCTTTTGGCTAAAATGAGTCACTTCATGCTTCTCTGCATTCAATTTCATTTGCCATTCTCATTTCTCCATTCCACCAGCTTGAACCTCCTCATGATTCACAATGCTTACAAGTTACATATCATCCGAAAATATTGAAATTGTGCCCTGGACACTAAGATTGAGGATGTTAACATATATTGGGAAGAGCTGGGTTGCCTTGGCTGGCGAAGAAAACTGAAGTAGCAGGTGTTGATTTTTCATGTTTCTCTAGCTGTAGTGTCTCATTTGGATTGTCAGGATTGGCACCAGCACCACCAACATTGTGATGTAAACATAGCATAAGCTTAGGGTGTGCCTGTGGGTCTCTGTCACCATGGCACTGCCAGAGCTTTAGCCCTTCCTGAAAGGTCCAATTAATTAGGAGTATCAAAGTGTTAACGATACGTTCAGTTCGAGGTAAACAGTGATCAGCGTGAGCCTCCACAATTCATTTTAGCCGGCCACAGCAAGGATATTTTAAATGCTACAGGCAGGCTCTGGAGATACAGAAGTGAATTGGAGCACAGTCTGTTTATTTACATGCACGCTCTGATTACAGTCATTATCTGATTTCCCCCACCCTTCCACCCTCCTCTTTTCAACTGCAGTCAATCATTCTGCTTAAATACACAGATAAACCAACACACCCACAATGCACAGCTGGTGTTTTAGATTAAGTCAGTTGATGTTCAAAGGTCTGTGTTCGGCATACTGCTGAGAGATTGGAAGTGGTTTTCACAGTCTCATGAAGGTCACTCCTAGCTTTCAGCCATTTCAACTTGGTTAGCTACTCAGAATGGAATCAAGCATTCCCAGCTGAGGATCGTCTGTGGGCTCCATGTAGAGTAAAGCTTTCATCGTCATGTAATATTTCTAACCTCCAGTGGAACTGTTCCTACTCACAACATAATGGTATTCTTTTCTTGTACCAGCTTTCTCTGAATCTACCAACTCAATGCAGTATTCCAAAGAGGCTTGTGTTGTGAGCTGAAACCTTGTGCAACTCTCAAGGAGACGAGACTTAAATCCCTTATGTCTTGCAGGAAATCGCATGAGATAATAGTAGGTCTTTGAAACAATTTACTAATGAAAGCTCTATGGGACGGAGGGGAAGTTGCTTGGATGTCTTCAGGTCAAAATGGGAAATATCTTGAAGCACGACACATTTTTATTTCCAGCTGCTAGGTGAATAGGGATGTTTCATTTGTACTTTCGTTCAAACATACCTTCTGTCCTAAGACTGAGGCAAGCTTGGTTAGAATTTAGCAACGTTGAGAGAGGAAACGTCCCATGCATTTTGTCAAACAATTCAATCTGCTTTCATTCAGCTTGTCATATGAAAGTCTGGGCTGTTCCACTGCTGTGCATCACAATCATCATGATGTTGCCTGTCGAATAGTTTCTAGTTGCATGATTGATCTTTATTTTCTCATTCCGCGCTTCTTAACTAGAACCAGGGGCATTGAAACCATTTGTCTGTCTCTATCACTCTCTTCCTCCTTTTGCACCTCAAAATGTTTGCACTAAAGACTGCGATCAGGAGTTGAGTGGACCTGGCAGAATCCGAATTGAGCATTAATGAGCAGGTTCTTTGGGGTCAAAAGCCCCTTTTAAAATTGTTAAAGACGCCTTGTGTCATTATGCTGATGATTTGATTCTTAATAATTTGGCTGTAGTTGACAGGGTTGGACATAGCCTGCCTTTTGAGGACAGGACAGACCTGAGTAATCTTCCACGTTGCTACGGTAATCAGGAGGTTTCCTCTCATGTTTCCTCTGAAGCCATGAAACTTAATAGCACTCGGGGTAAATATTGAGGACTCCCAAGGCAGTTTCCTCTCAACCGAGCACCAATATGCTGTCACCTCTGAGTCTGTTCACCTGATGACACAAAGTGTGCCAAGGGACAGCGCTGGTGTTGTCTATGTGTATGATTCTGAGTGAATGTCCGGCTGCTGCTTGACTAGTCTGTGGAACAGCTTTCCAGTTTTGGCTTAAGCCCCCAGAATTTAATGGGAGGACTTTATGTCAGGGCTGTGTTATCTATTGTCATTTCAAGTGTCTTAGTTGAGGCTGGGGAGATCTGTCTGATTTTATTTCTCTACCTTGATACCACTGAGTGGCTTGCTAGGCCATTGCAGAGGGCAGTTAGGAGTGGACCACATTACCATACCTTGGGTCTGTAATCACATGTTGGTCAGATCATCTTCCCAAAAGGGTATGAGTAAATCAAATGGGTTTTTATGCCGATGGTTTTGTGGTCAGCTTTTAATTTGTGATTAGCTTCTAATCACCGCCAGTCACAGTGATGTTAGCATCTGTTTTCTGAGAGCATTAGCCTGTGCCTTTTTGGATTGCTAGTCCAGTGACATTGCTATTGTGCCATCCCCCCTCTCTCCCCGCACCGCCACCCCCCTAAATTATTTACTGCTTTTCTCCCGCCTTCAATATTTTGTGAGCACATGGCTATATGTATTGCAAGCTGCAGTCTTTTGGAATAAGCCAATGTTTGGATGATTTACCAGCTGTAAAGAAATCTCCTAAATTTACGCTTCTGTGCCATAATGAAATGTAGATACTTAACCAGAAATGTCATCACTGAGCAGAATGCTTCATTGTTAACGGGTCCCAGCTATGCTTTTACTCTGGTGCATCCCCTCAGCTTGTCGTTCAGCCATAGGAGTTTACACAACAGGAGGAGTCCGTTTGACCCATCATGTCTGTCTCAACCATTGTCTGCAGCAAAGCGTTCTGTGTTCCAGCATCTCATAATAGAAAAGTTTCTCCTAAATACTCACCTTGCCATCAGTTTTTAAATTGACACATCAATGCTAAATCTCCAGCAAATAGGTATTTCCGTCATTAATTTTATTCAGTGCCTTCGTAACTTCAAAAGCTGCTTGACTGTGTTCTCAAACTTTCGTATGAGCGACTTTAATAAATAATTTTTAAAAATCTCAATATTGACACCTCTCTGGAGATCCCAATACATGTTACATAGCTCACACAGTAACTTTAACATGAACTCCCTTGGCCCCACATATTAATTTCAAAAGACAATGCCAGGAAACTTATTATGAAAGCATTCAGTCTATGGTAAGTGTTAACGAGCTAGAAAGTGAATTCAGATCTACTAATGGGTGTTGGAATCCAGTAAATTGATGCCTTAGACAGTTAAACCTCTATTCTTTGTTTCAACAGCAAAAAGATTCCCAGCAGAAGTATTCTGGAAGTCCACAGAGCATTGCCCAGCCTGGTGAGTTTCTTTTAGCAATTTAAGTTGATTATAATGAGGGAGATAGTTGGATTTGATCTCCTTACTGTTCTCCCCACACCTTTGTAAGCAAGAACAGTGAAGACCAGCTTGTCCATGAAGCTAATCCTGTACCAGCAAGGGATAATGAAAATCAGGGTTACACAAGAGGTCAGAATTATAATAGTGGTTGTGGACCTCGTGAAGATTAGAGGTGCAGAAAGCTGTGGCCCTGGATTTGAAAACTAGCATCAGAATTTGAAGATTGCAGTATTTTCTTAAACACTTGCAACTACAGGCCAGTGAGTATGGGTGATAAGTGAGTGGAACTGGCTACAAGTTAGGACACAAGAAATGTATTTTAGATGATTGCTTTAGAAGATAGAATGTAGGATGCCGGTCAGGAGTGAGTTGGAATAGTTTAGTCACGAGGCAGTGTTGGCCTGGAACAGGATTTCTGTCGTGGTGGATGAACTGAAGCAGGACAGATCCGGATGATGCTGCAGAAGTTGAAATTTGCCATCTTCAAGATGCAGACAGGTGGTTGGAGGCTGATCTCTGGAATATTTGACACCATTGTTGCAAAGAGTCACTTAGGAGAAATGTGAAATCAGTGACTGGGATATGGCAGTTACGGTGTGCACCAAGGCCTTTAAACTAAGTAAGTAATTAAAATTACAGGCAGCCCCCGGGATCTGAATAGGTTCTGTTCTGGAGTCGTTTGGCAAGTCAATTTGTATGTAAGTCAGAATACAATACAGGGCAATTTAAAGCAGCTGTACATTAGCACAGGATGTGTTTGTGTGTCGGGTCTTTAAAATTACACCCCTGTATGGGGTTGTGTTTGTAAACCTGAGTGTTGGTAAGTCAGATGTTTGTAAATCAGGAACCCCTTGTATCTAGTGGCTCTTTAGTAGGTCTAATAGATCTCTTCCAGTTCTCCTCCTGTGAACACCAAAATCAGATCCAGTATTCGAAAGCATAATCTAGCACCTGCCCCACCCCAGACCCCAGTAAGGAGTGCAATTTTAAATTAAATATTCTTAACCTCAGTAAGATCAATGCTGGTGATTTGCAACAGCAAAAATATTTTTGTGAAAATCCCTTGCATGGTTATGTTTCTGCGGCATGCCTCATTGTACACTGGTTTGAGAAATGGTTTAAAATCTGCGTATGATGTAAAGCTAAGTACAGAGGTTCAGTTTCCATCACAGATGTTGGTGGAATTTAAATCCATTTAATAAACATGGGACGTAAAACTTGTCCAGAAGTAGTGAGCCTGGAACTATCGTTGATTGTTGTATTTTTGTTTAAAAACCCCACCTGATTCATTAATGTTCTTTCTCCGCATGTAATTCTGCCATCCTTACCTGGTCTGGCCTATGTGTGACTCCAGACCTGCAGCAATGTGGTTGACTCTTAATTACTCTCTGAAATGGCTAAGCAAGCTATTCCTTGGTTCAAGGGTAGTTAGGGAGAGGCGGCAAACACTGGACTTGTCCACATCCTGCAAAATAATTAAGAAAAAAGAAACAGCTCCTTATTTGGGATCATGATTCAGTGTTGGTCATGTCTACAGTTGTCTACTTCTTATCAAGTTGTGTCTTTAGGAACTCAGCTTCCTTGAACTGCAAATCACTTAGCTGTACCAGCAGGAATGACTCATGGACTTGGAAGGTAGATCACTTCATCCTATCTCTCTGGACAGTGTTGCAGAAGAGCTACCATTAAGCTATGACTTCTGTATTTATACAGCACCTTTTCTGTCTAAATGTTTCATTGTTGTTATCGAGGTTAAAGTGTATGTTTTTATTTAATAAGGATGAACAGGAAAGGTAGGCTAACGCGAGAGTTTTGAACAATCCTGTGTTCTGCACTAAATTGAGAACACTGGCTGATTTGAGCTCGAGTTTCTGAAATTGCCAAATGTACATCACTCATTCGCGTCAGAGGGCAGCTTGTACAACTTGGGTCACTCTGCTCCAAGTCTTCACAGAGCCTGCAGTATGTATGAATGTGGAGTTGCAGCCTCTGAGCTGTCAGCCAGAGCTGATTTTTAAAAAAAAAACACACTATATCTCCAAGCAGCCTTAGGTTGTGTTGCCCTGTGCAATTAATGGATTGCACAGCGAAGAGTTTTTTTTAAACCTATAGACGTGATGTATTACTCCTTTTCATATTGAAGAAGCCAGCAGCATTGCATACTTGCAGGTAGATACAAACTTGGGGTTTTAGACATTGAAGCTCTCTTCGTTTTGTTAATGTGTCTAAGCCCCTATTGTAGACCATTACTTCCTTATCATAGCAATGTTGTATTTCCCAAAATCTTGTGGCCGCTGAGTCAGATTGTCAGCTTGTGGCAACTGTAAGTGCAGTTTGTACCATGGAACCATGTTTGCCAGGAACTGAACCGAGATGGCGGCTGGATTTTTTTTTTATTCATTGGATGTGGCTGCCACTATTTTATTACCCGTGCCTAATTCCCCTTCAAAAGATTGTGGGTGGGCTACCTGCTTGATTACCTGCAGTCCTTGAGTGTGGTTACATCGCAGCGGTGTTAGGGAAGGAGTTGACCCAGTAACAGTGAAGGCATGGTAACTTAGTTCCAATTCAACTTGGTGTGAGTCATAGGGTCATACAACACAGAAACACATCCTTCAGTCCAGCTTGTCCATGCCAACCAGGTTTCCCAAACTAAACTAGTCCCATTTGCTTGTGTTTGACCTATATTCCTTAAACTTCCCTATTCATGTACCTGTCCAAATGTCTTGTAACTGTGCCTTCACTACCACTTCCTCAGGCAGTTCATTCCATGTATGTACTACTCCCTGTATGAAAACGTTGTCCCTCTGGTCCCTTTTAACATGGAGGTAATTGTCCCACACATCTGCTGCCCTTGTCCTTCTATGTGATTGATGCCATAGGTTTGCTGTTGGAGGAGCCTTGATAAGTTAGTGTAGTGCATCTTGTAGATAATACGTACTCGTTGCCTCTGTAGGTGAAGAGAATTAATGTGGAAAGGGTTGGATGTGGTGCAAGTCAAGGAGGCTGCTTGGTCCCGAATGGTGTCAAGTTTTTTGATCGTTGTTGGAGCTACACCCATCCAGGCTAGTGGGGATGTTCCATCACACGGATGACTTTGCCTTGTAAATGGTGGACAGGTTTTGGGGAAATCAGTAAGTGGGTTTAAGGTTCTTGAGTAGATTTGTAGCTTGGGTTGTGGAAGCTGTGGTCGGTTCACTCACCGGGCTGGTTCATTAGCTTGCAGACGTTTAATTACCTGCTGGGTAACATCATCAGTGCAGCCTCCGATGAAGTGCCGTTGTATTTTCCCGCTTCTTATTTAAACTCTGGGGTCTGTTGGAGTTGATTACCTCATTTCCAGTTTTTCTTTGCAGTGGTGTGTATGTAGGCTGTAATTCTATGTGTTTATTGATGGCCTTCTTGGTGGAGAACTAGGCATCTAGGAATTCCCGTACTTGTTTCTGTTTGGCTTGTCCTAGGATCCTGATGATGTCCCAATCGAACCGGTGGTTCTCCTTGTCTGTGTGTATGGAGACAAGCGAGTACTGGTTGTATCTTTTTGTTGCTAGATGGTGTTCATGTTTCCTTCCTGTCTGTCCAGTGTAATGTTTGTCACAGTCCTTGCATGGAATCTTGTATGTTATGTTGGCCCTGTCCATAGTGGGTAAGGGGTCTTTGGATCTTGTTAGCAGTTGGCGTAGGGTTGCTGTAGGTTTGTGTGCCACTCTGACGTCCAATGTCTATAGAAGTTTTGTGGTCAGTTCAGATACGTAATTGATGTCAGTAATGTGATAAGTGTGTCGGGGCATACCGTATTTTCTTGTTCAAAAACAGAAGTTGCTGGCAAAGCTCAGCAGGTCTGGCAGCATCTGTGAAGGTAAAAACAGAGTTAACGTTTCGGGTCTGGTGACCCTACGTCAGAACTAAGGCACAGATGATACTAGTGGACACCAGTACATACTGACAAGTAACGGACCTGACACCGCAAGTGGGAAATAAAATCATCTACACGCTAAAGACACACTCAAACACACTGGACAAAGCAGACTACCTAAAAATGAAACCTGAAGGGACAAACCCCTGCCCCTTTGATTCTGTAGCCTCCCAAAGGTATACAAGCTGGAGATACCCCTCAGACCTATAGTCTCTCTTCCAGGCACACCAACACACAGCTTAGCCAAGGAATTACAACAAGGACTAAAGCACCTTGTCAACAACTCAATCCACTCAGCCCAGGAGTCCCGCAATTCCCTCCAAGACATAAGAATAGACGAGGACAAGACCATGGTGTCCTTTGACATTACTGCCCTATTCACGTCAATTGACATACCACTAGCGAGAAAAATACTAGCAACGCTACTGAAAGAACCGGACCCAAGTAACACCATCTCCATAGACAACATGCTGAAATTACTGGACCTATGCCTCACAACCCACTTTGCCTTTAATGGCCAGATCTACAAACAAATCAATGGGACCCCCATGGGGTCACCTAGCTCTGGACTAATAGCAGAAGCAGCGATGCAGAAATTCGAAAGCACAACCCTTCCGCAGATCCAACCCAAACTGTGGAATGGATATGTGGGTGACACTTTCGACATCATCAAACAGACTAAAGTAGAAGAAACACACCAACTTATAAACAACATTTTCACTGGCATCAAATTCATCAGAGAAGAAGAAAAGAACAAACGGCTCCCATTCCTGGGCGTGGTGGTAGAACGCAGGGCCAACAGGGAATTTCTGACCAAAATATACAGAAAGGCCACACAGACAGATCAAGTCCTAAATTTCAACAGTAACCACCCCGACACCCACAAATAGTTGCGTAAAAACACTCTTCAAATGAGCCACAACACACCGCAGCAACCCAGAACTACGCCAAAATGAAGAAGAATGCCTCCACCGAGTATTTAGAGACAGCAGATTCCCAAATAGCTGGGTCCGACAATGCCTGTCACACAAGCAACAACAGGAAGATACAGTATGTGCTGATACATTTGCCACATTACTGTGTATGAAGGATGTATCTGAACTGACCACCAGACTCCTATAGACACCGGGCATCAGAGTAGCACACAAACCTACATCAACCTTACGCCAACTGCTAACGAGCCAAAGACCCCTTGCCCACAATGGACAGAACCAACGTAATATACAAGATTCCATGCAAGAACTGCGACAAACATTACTTTGGACAGACAGGAATGAAGCTGGCTACGAGGACACATGAACACCAACTAGCAACAAAAAAACACGACCAATACTCACTCGTCTCCATACACACAGACGAGGAGATTGGGACAACGTCAGGATCCTAGGACAAGCCAAACAGACAAGCATGGGAATTTCTAGGGGCTTGGTTCTCCTCCAAGAAGGCCATCAATAAACACGTAGAATTAAACCCTACATACACATCACTGCAAAGAAAAACAGAAATGAGGTAATCAAATCCAACAGACCCCAGAGTTTAAATAAGTGGGAAAACACAACAACGCTTCATCTGAGGCTGGACTGATGTTACCCAACAGGGTAATGAAACTTCTGCAAATTGATGAACCAGCTCAGCGAGCAAACCAACCGCAGCTGTAAGTGGGTTGCTCGTCACAGAATTCTCAGCCTTTGAGCTGCTCTTGGAGCCATATTATTTAAGAGGCTGGCCCGATTCAGTTTCTGGTCACTGATAATAGGATGTTGATAGTGGGAGATGCAACAATGGTAGTGCCATTGAACAACAAGAGTTTGATTCTCTCTTGGAGATGGTCATTGCCTGGAATTTGTATGGCATAAATGTTTCTCACTTATCAACCTAAGCTTAGATGTCATCCAGGTCTCGCTGCAAATGAGCTTGTACTGCTTCAGTGTCTGAAGAGTTGCAGCTCATTCTGAACAATATGCAGTCATCAATGAAGATCCCACTCTGAACTTCTGATGGAGGGAAGTCATTGATGAAATAGCTGAAGCCAGAAGACTTCAAGGCCCACCTGCTGCAAGGTGTGGAATAAAATCTCTGAGCAGGTAGATTAGAAAATGTGCCCTGGTCCTTTTTCATAACTAGATGATCGTTTATAAAATTGTCAGGGGCAAGGTGTGGGGAACAGAATTGTGGGGAATAGAGAAGGGGGTGCAGGATTTGGAGGAGTGGAGTTGGGGTTTAGGGCTGAAGGGACAGAGACAGGGCAGGAATAGCATATCAGAGACAGAAGAAAGTTTGACTGGAGGGGAGGGGCTGAGGTAGGTTTGAAGGCTGTGGCGGGGAGATAATTTTGGACAGGCAGAAAGGGAATGAGGTTAAATTTGTTTTCTGACACCTAACAACATTCTTTTTGCAGCGTCTTTACTGAAGGAGCAGTCCCGGTGCTTACCGCTGGCCACTGATGGCACGTCTGGAGCTGTGCGGAGTATCGGCATGACTGTACCACCAAGAAGACCTTCCCAACCGTCTTCAACCAGTGTGAATAGCTACACCAATCACGGGTTAGCACAACTTACTACATTGTTAGGAAATACTTGCATTGATAAACGGTGAAGTCCCAGTTAGTTAGAAATGGATTGTATCTGATTTTAAGATGTCCCTGTTGTTCTGAGAAGTATAATTTCATACAGTTAAACTATTGGGAAGCAGTTTGTAATGTCATGATCTTGACACCATTTTATTATTTTTTCCATTGTCCTGTTAATGATGCCAGAAGCCTCACTAATTCCAACTAAATTCTTCAAATCCATCACACAAAGAACATTGGATCCCAGGAGGTAGTAGCAAGCTGGAATCTAATTGTGACATTTATGATGGATTAAATGTTAAGTAAGGGGCCATTTGCAGAATAGGATCTAGTTTGATCCATTTAGTATTGGCTATAGAATAGGCAGCGACATGAATCTAACTATTAATGTCAAACAACAAGGTTACAGCCATAATCCATAACAAAACTAAAGTTAGTACAAATAAATATAGAGGGACATTGTGGATTGGCACTGCCAAACAAATGTCACTCAGCTCCTTTAAGTTGGGAGATATTTCGTTCTGACTCGTTTAGAGAGATGAACGGAATTGCAGTTTTGCTGAATGTCATACCTGTTTTATTTGTACGTGCATTAAAATGCAGATTTAAATGCTTTTGCGTTTTATGACCAGAATAACTGCAGGGGAGATGGAGCAGGAAGTGGAGAATGGAATCCCTAAAAGCAAGACTTCTGCTGAGGAAACCCAGAGTCTAATTTCGTCATCTGTTGAGTCACTTGTGGCAGAAGGTAATGGTGACGTGTGCTTACAAGGGAGAATATCAGGCATTTAATCCAATCCAGGGACTGCTGCATAAGGCTGCTGCCACCGTAGAGCGCGCAATGATTGAATTAAGCTATAACCTCCTGTAGGCTGTGCTCCCATTGGGTGAGGTTCCATATCAGACAGAACCTCCAAAAATAAAACCTTGATTGCTTCAGTAAGGTTAAACAAATAAAGGGTTAAAAGGCCAGGTTCTCGGAAATGGGGCAGAAGGAGGCTAGATTGAGGAACTGAATGATCTGATATGAACAAGTGCATAGTATCCACACAGCTGGGCAATGGGAGTTTTATTCTTTTTCATGCTGATTACACAGCACTAGGTGAGATCAGTATACTGTCTGTAAAACAATTTTTTTCTGAGGCAAAGGGAAGAAAGAAAATGGCTAACCTAGTTTAATTTTCATTTTTTTGTCATGGTTCAGACACCATTTATGCCTCTCTAAAGGCAGAGTTGGAGGCAGATGGCCAAGACTTTGAGGCTGAATCATGGAGTCTTGCAGTGGACCAGGCGTATGCAAAGAAACAGAGCAAAGAAGTCATCAAAAGACAGGATGTAATTTATGGTAAGAGCATTGCAGTAGTCATCACCACCCGATGGTGCACAGACAATGTGGTCAGCTGGCCTTGTTATTCAATGTGCTTGAGTGTTGGCTCAGAATCCAGTGAGAAGGCCAGTGCGCTTCATTTGTTTGCCCTGCGATGACTGAGTGAGTTGCACTATCAAATCTGTTGTGAGGTCTTTTTTTTTTTAAAAAGCAGGTTAAGCTTAACAATTGCTCACTTCCTTGCTGCCCTTCATACCTACCCTTGTCATTCGGACATAGCAAACCATCAGGAATGTATCTGCAATTAAGTACAATAATTGCGCTGGGCTATACTTAAGGGCTCAGTGTCATTTCGTTCTCTAGCCGTCGAGACTTAGTGAGTGTTTGTTTTTTTTTTTTTTTTAAAAATTCATCCGACTATGGAGAGATGTTCAGATGATGGTTGTAGTTTTGTCTGTGGTTTCTCTCCATTTGTAATTTTTTTTGTAATCCGGATCTACCAAAATCAAGCACACTACCTTCAGCTACCTCATCTGTATTCATTTGTGATTCTGAATGATTGATTTTTATCAGTCATTTCCATGATCCAAGTTGTAATGTTTGAGTCCGGCCCAACATCATCCAATGTCTGTACCCATGCCTATTCTATCACTCGCTAAACAGGTGAGGAGTGGAAATTTTAGCTGTGATCTAAGCATCTTTGGATGTGTCTCTGGCCTGCCCTGATATGTGCATTGTTTAGTTCCACACTGGCTATAATTTGCCTTAATAAACCATCACCTGACCCAGTGCTGTGATGTTGGAGTAATGTGTGTGTTCTGTCTTAGCATGCAATACTTCCACCCAACAGTACAACATTTCCCTACAAATTGAACGCATACTCTCGTTTTCCACTCTGCAGAAATTCCCCTGCACACTCATGCTTGGGACGGCATGGTGGCTCAGTGGTTAGCATTGCTGCCGAACAGCACGAGGGACCTGGGTTCAATTCCAGCCTCTGGCAACTGTCTGTGTGGAGTTTGCAAATTCTCCCCATGTCTGCATAGGTTTCCTCTGGGTGCTCTAGTTTCCTCCCACAGTCCAAAGATGTGCAGGTTAGATGGATTGGCCATGCTAAATTGCCCGTAGTGTCCAGGGATGTGTAGGCGCTAGGTGGGTTAACCATGGGAAATGTGGGTTATGGGATAGCGCGGGGGTGGGTCTGGGTGGGATGCTCTTCGGAGAGTTGGTGTAGACTCAATGGGTCAAATGGCCTCTTTCTACACTGTAGAGAATCTATCATTCTGTGACTCCAGATTTAAACAGCACTGGGAGAGGGGCATAGTTCTTGTCTATATGAAAAGGTGAGATGCGTGAAGAGGCGGAACACTCAGTATTTGAAAGTGCATCTGAATAAAATGAAAGTGTCTGTGAGTCGAGACCTTGAGACTGGCCATAACAAACAAATTGTATTTTTGCCATTCTGCTCTATAACTACCCTGTAAATGTTAGGATTAAATCACTTTCCTATCTTCTGACATAACTGTTTCTTTTTTTAAAAAAAAAACCCGCCTCCTTCAGAGCTAATGCAGACAGAGATGCACCATCTCCGAACTCTGAAAATCATGCTGCATGTATACGATCGGGGAATAAAGGAGGAGCTTCAGCCCAGCCTCAGGCACCTTGTCAGCAAAATCTTTCCCTGCTTACACCAGCTGTTGGAAATCCATGGAGTTTTCTTCTCCAGACTGAAGGAGCGGCGGAAAGATTCCTTGGAGGAAGGGAGTGACCGGAATTACCTCATTCATAAAATTGGTGATGTCCTCTCTCAACAGGTAGGGGGCAAAGGTACGATGTTTATGTCTGCACTGAGTTAGCTGAGGAAGGCTGAAAGGATTTGTTGCAGTTGGCTTCGGTACCTCCGAGGCTGGGGAGCTCAACCGATTTTTACCAAATACCCGTGGTTTCTCCCAGAAATTTCCTACCTGATGATTCCCACAACTGAATACCCTGCTAGCAGTCACTGTCTAGATCCATCTAGAAAAAGTGAGAGACACTGGAGAGGGCTGATCCTTTGCAGTGATCAAAGGACCTTGCTCTCTCTTGCAGATTTCAGTTGCTTTGTACAGAGCGCTGTGACTTGGGAATGATTTGAAGGCAGGTACTTGGCATGATACTCTGGCAACAAAACTAGAGCAGTTCAGAGGTGTCCTTGTCCCATAAGTATAAATTCTGTGCCCTGCCATTGCCTCCCTCCTTGCACTTATCACAGTGAATGGATCAAGTTGTTGATAAATCTTTTTTTCCCCAAACTAACTGCTTTCTGGCACTGAGTGCATGCCTCTCACTCTATCAAGTGATGCACTTCTGCAAATAGGATGGATCTTTTGACTCTTTAGCCTTCTGTTTAGTTTCTGTTGTGGGTGAAGCGATAGAGGCGGAAACCCTGAATCACTGTGATGAGCAGCTGCTGTTTGTGTGTCTTCCAAGGTACATTTAGCAAATTAAAACTTGATGAAAGTAATTTAGTCCACTGATTCGATGGTGGAGTGCTACAGTTAGCCCTCAAAACTAAAAGTGACTGCATTTAGTTGACAGTAAAGCACTGGTGGTGCCCTGAGACTTTGCAAAGCATTGTTTATTACATTTCAACATCTTGTGAATTGTAGAGAGAAAACATGAGCAAACATTATTCTCCTGATCACTATTGATTCACCCCCTGTAGCATGTGCACAGGATCCTGATCATGCTGAGCTCCTGATGGTTCATACCAATAATCAGGATCATGGTCAGGAGTCACCTTGAGAAAGGCACCAGACAGCCGCTAGTCCCTGTAGAACTGTAACCTCATGAGGAGAAAAGTGGAGTGTCTGAAGAAGGTTCAAAAAAAACAGGACTAATTTGGCACTGTTCAATACCATTTTAATTCAATAATATCTTTCATTGAATCAGTGTCTGAAAGTTAGTTGGCTAATTGCAAGTCATACGTGGAAGCTTGTGTGCAGCACAGTTGCTATCGTCACAGTTGAATATCAGTTCTGACTACAATAACTGATAAAACTGTGGCAAAAACCAAACCTTTTAAGCATTTCCCAATTTATTAAACAATAATAAACGGGACTGAGTTTTTGTGGGCTGAGCATGTGTTGTAAGGCTAACGGATCCTGTAGCAGCTGAGGCAATAGTCAGTTAACGTGACCCTGTTCGTAGACAGACGTTTGTGTACCTCTCTCCAGATTAATGCATTCATGATGTTGCATTGGAAACTGAAAGCTTGCTGCGCTGTCTTCAAATTTTATTCTGTAGATTCGTGAAAGCTGCAAAAGCACATTTGACTTCTGGGTGTAAATCTACAAAAGAGGCATTAAAGACAAAATTATGAAAATAACTTTTACACCATAGCTGTTAATGTTTTGCTTTTGGGCCTGATGTTGGTTTGATCAAAAATTTAAAGTAACATCTTTCAGAGAACAAGTTTTGGACAATATCTTTCTAATTTCACATGGAGGTGGACTTAAGTACAAAAGTGACCTTTATTCCATTGAATCACAATTCTCACTCTAGGAAGACCCCCACAGTGATTGCAGGAAATGGGTAAGTACCACCCTGCTGAAGTAGGAAGGAGAAAACTTGTAGCTCTATCCTATTTTGGGCTAGTGTAGAGAGAACTTTGATATCAAATCTGTGCTAAATCCGCCCTGCGAGAGCTTGGGACATTCTACCCAAACTATGCTGAGCCCCAGGAGGAGAGAAATGTCCAATTCTCCATGACAGCCATTCTTCTAAAAAATGTGTCATCAACCCTGTTAAAAAGGTAATCTGCTGAAATAATTTTTTTGCAGTGTTCACAAATATATTTTGCCTCAGTTTTCAGGTGAATGTGGAGAGGAAATGAAGGTGCAATATGGGAATTTCTGTGGTCAGCACAACGAGGCAGTGAATTATTACAAAGAGATGTACCAGCAGAACAAGAAGTTCCAAAATCTAATCAAGGTGCGTACTCTTGCAAGAAGACACGTGAACATCAAACGTACTGCACATCCCAGTTTCCTACCGTGGAAAATGATACCCTTTTTCTTTTTAAAAAGAAACCCTCACTCTTTTTATAACTGTAAATATAGGCCATTTGGCTCAGCAATTTCACATTTCTTCTTTTTCCAGAAATTAAGTAATTACTCTGTGGTGAGGCGTCTTGGAGTGCAGGAGTGCATTTTACTGGTCACTCAGCGTATAACTAAGTACCCTGTCCTGGTGGAAAGGATTATTCAGAATACTGAAGGTATGTCAGTGTGTAGAAGCAGTCACTCCGCACCTCGTTAGTAAAGTTGTTGCATTCTGCATTTCCATACAGTTCTGGTTGCCTTGCTATAGGAAGGATATTATTAAATTGGAAAGGGTGCAAAAAAAAATTTACAGGAATGTTACTCAGACTGGAGGGTTTGGGTTATAAGAAGTGGTTGGAAAGAAAGGCATTTCTTTCCCTGATTCATTGGAGGTTGAGGTGACCTTGGAGGTTTTTAAAATCATGAGGGCGTAGATAAAGGGTACAGCAAAGGTCTTTTCCCTAAGCCAGGGGAGTTCAAAACTAGAGGGCATAGGTTTAAGGTGAGAGGGGAAAGATGTAAAGGACCTAAGGAGCAACTTTTCCCGCAGAAGGTGGTTCGTATGTGGAATGAGCTGCCAGAGGAAGTGGTAGATGTAGGTATAGTTGAAACATTAAGACATTTGGACAGGTACATAGGAAAGGTTTAGAGGGATATGGGCCAAATGCAGGCAAATGAGACTAACTTAGTTTGTTAAACCTGGTTGGCATGGACTGAAGGGTCTGTTTCTATGCTGTATGACTCTGACTCTATTTCGAAAAGCAAGTGAGATGAGACAGTCTTTGCTGTGTAGCTGGCATATTGCAAGGTTTAATTTTTGCAGTATGCATCTCAATAATACAAACCTTCTGTCTTACAACCTCCATTATGTTCCTATCGTGCTGAAGTTACGTCGGTTGTTCCTCGTCGGCTTCGTGTGTCTCATACTTTGACTCTTGTGCCCCTCTTGTGTTAAAGTGAAGATTCGCATTTTGTTTCCTACTCTGAACTCATTCTTTTCTAGCATCTTGTTGCCCCAAGTGTGTCTCTATCTTTATTCACAGCCTGCGCAACTATCCAAGTTGTTGTCCCAGCCAGGTTTCAGTGTTAGTCCTTTTCCCTTCACTAGTCTACAAAGACTGGCATTGGGATGTAGATACATACCCTGTATGACAAAGATTCATTAAAACCAGCTACTGAATAGAACCGAGGGTCTCACCATGTTTCTTTTTCACACTGGCTGTGGGGAAAATGTTGAGGTTCCACCCAAAAGATGTTTGTTCTCTAATTGAAATCAGAAAAAAAGGAGTGGGTGAACTGCAGGCACAGGCTGCATTGCCTAATTGTGGTATGCCATTCCAAAGAGGAAGCTTGAATGGGGGAGACTGGTTGGCTTTGTAGCTATTGAGCAATGTGAGGAGAAGTAAATAAATGGGGAATTGTACCCTACAAATAGCAACTTCAGCTGGTATGCAGTCTTGAGTCTGACTCGTGCTCCTGTGTTTTCAAAGCTGGTTCAGAGGATCATGAAGAATTGACCAAAGCATTGCTTCTGATAAAGGACACAATAACAGAGGTGGATGAGAGGGTGAGTGTTTGTGAGAAAGCTCGGCGTTTGAAGGAGATTGCAAATCGAATGGAACCCAAGTCGATAGCCAAGCTCAAGAGTGGAGATGCCTTCCGTAAGGGAGACATGCTGAGATCGAAGAGGAGACTTCTGTACGAAGGAGTGGTCTGCTGGAAGGCTGCATCTGGACGACTAAAAGGTAGAAAAGCCTTTGTGATTGTGATTTCTGTTCCACAGCTGTAATGAGAACAGGTAGCCTGTATGTGACAGCAACAAGAGTGAAAGCAGAGGACAACTGAATCTGGGCTAGTAACTGCTGCCTTGTTTTCCTGATCCTAATGATCGGAAATTACTGAAACAGAATCCAGGAAAAAAAAACTGATAAATGACAAGTCTCAAATTGATGGTTAGCACTATATTGTATAGTATCCTGACATTTTGGCATTATTTTAACACCAGGGCTAACCACTGTGACGTAATGTTTGATGAGAAAATGTCAACTTGTGGTTTCTTTGCAAGCTAAAATTGATAGGTAGCAAAGATGTTACAGACAGTAATTAGGTCATTAACAGGAAGAAGCAGAGTGCAGTCTTTTAAAGAGTAGTAAAATTCTACTTGGAGACGTTGCTGGGATGTGAATGTTGTGGAATTGCACAATCTGCAAAGTAGGGAGGAAAAAAAGCAACATTATTTTTATATATCAACTTTCCCATGTTCTGTTCAATCAAAAGACCTGATACTTGAGCAGACACTGTGGCCATGATGTGTACTATATTAGCTAATGGTACAAGGATCGGCAGTTAAAACTTTTAAGGTGTGAACAAGAGATGCAGAGGGAACATGAGGAAGAACTTGCTTTCTAATGCAGTGAATGGTATTAACTTGGAGCTCGCTTCCTGTGAATGGTGTGAGCTGAGGGCAATCAGAGACTTCAAACAGAAGTTAGATAGGCACTTGAGGGAAATAAACTTGTAGAATACAGGAATAGAGCAGGAGAATAGGACTGACTGGACTGCTGTACAAAGAACCAGCGTGGCCTTGATGGGCTGAATGAACACCTTCTGTGCTGTTTGGCCATTTGGAACAAATATTAGCTGCCTAGAGCATCTTTTTAACATAATGTTCACCCGAACAGGAAAAGGATAATTTGCTGTTAATTTTTGGGGTTAGCACTGCTTAATGGTGCACTCACTCAAAATTAGTCCAGCATTCATTATAGTTAAATTCATAAAACAATTTCAGCCCACAATTGGTTGCTTTACACAGTGGGCTGACCATTGGCAGATAACAGCAAATAGAAAAATCTGTTGACGTAAAAAATGTCTTAATATAGTTTATACGTGGGTATTGATTAGTTGCAAATTCAAGTTGAATATCAAACTAATAAATGTACTGTGTAGTGGAATTAAAAGTGAGACCCATACAAAAGTGAAATACTGCAGCTGAAGGAAATTTGAAATACAAATCTGAAAATGCTGAAAGTACTCAGCAGATCAGGCAACATCTGTGGAGAGGGGAGCAGAGTTCATGTTTCATGTTGATGACCTTGCATCAGAGCTGGTGCATCATGATGATAGGTTATAATTTTTCAAGGGAAACTACATAGATATTCTTGGAAACCCAGTTTGGGGCGAGCTTGAAATCCCTGAAGAATTTGTCTTTATCAGTTTGAAATTGGGAAGCAAAGATATTAAGTTGTTTTTTTTGATGTGTGTGGTATGTTGATTAGCTCAGTTGGTTGGATGGCTGGTTTGCAATGTGAAGTGACACACTGCGGGGTTCAATTCCTGCACTGGCTGAGGTTACCATGAAGGACTCTTTCTCAGAGTCTCCACTTGCCTGAGGCATGGTGACCCTCAGGTTAAACTACCACTAATTGTGTCTTTGATAGAGCAGCTTTATGGTACCGTAGGATTATGGTGCCTTTACCTTTTATTTTATTAATCCATGTTTGTGTTCCATTTCTTAGATATTCTGGCCCTCGTTTTGACAGATGTGATCCTGTTACTTCAGGAAAAGGATCAGAAATACTCATTTGCTACAGTGGTAAGTGCAGACTGAAAAGGACAGCCTCTTAGCACATATTTGCCCATTTGGTGATGAACTGAGGGTGTAAGTCATGAGCGTGCAAGCCATCAGCACTGTTCTTTGCATCCTGACCTCTTGAAGGAACTGGGTCGGTCCCACCTGGAGTATGGCTTCTTGGATACTGACAGACCTCTGGCACTTGTCCTTTGATAAACCCAGTCAGTAAAGTGTTGATGTTAACCCTGTCCATTTGGTGGAAGCCAGCTGGGTGGTCAGTTAAAATGACCACATTCTGAGATGAGTCACAGAGGGTGAACTCGGTATTCTACTCTTTTGTGTGGTATAGGAGGTGAAGCTGCCAACTCGTTGCTCTCTGAAACCAGGTTTGACTGGAGATTGAAGGGGTGAAAGATGAGAAGAAAAACACATTAAGAAGAAGGTTCTGTTTACTGGCTGTTTTGAATCATTTTACATTTGCTTTAACTTGGTATCTGTATCTCCCAACTTCCCAGGACCAGAAGCCAGCTGGCATTTCGTTGCAAAAGCTCATTGTCAGGGAAGTAGCCAACGAAGAAAAAGGAATGTTCCTCATTAGTGCTTCTGATGAAGGCCCTGAGATGTATGAGATCCACACCAATTCCAAGGAGGAGCGTAACACTTGGATGGCAGTAATCCGGGATGCAATAGACAGGTAGCATTGCAGTTCAAACTCTTCTCCCTGTCACTAAGTTCCAGCATTGTATGTATTATGGTGACTCCATTTGATAGAGAGTAATGCCAACCCATAGGAGTCTCTTCGCTCATTTCCAATCCACCCTGTAATCTCTTGCCCTTCTGATATACACAGTGACGTATTTAAAACTAGTACTTTTACTTTAAATTGCTAGTATTGCTGTCTTGAGCAGTTCTTCCTCCCCTTTTTCTGTCTTAGGCCCTTGGCACAGTAACTCTTACAAACCCCATATTCTGTTTTCTCCTATGTGGCATCTATAAAATGTTCTCAATATCATTCACGTATTACCTGGTCATTATCACATTGCTGTTTCCAGAAACTTGCTGAATGCAAATTGGTTCCTTTTTCCAACATTACGGTAGAAAAGGTGGTGGTGTGGTGCTAATGTCACTGGATTTGAGCTCCAAAATCTCTGACTAATGTTCTGGGGACATAGGTTTGAAATTCACCATAATGGCAACCATGCAGTGTCAATTGTCATTTAAAACCCATCTGGCTTACTACCGTTCTTCAGGACCTGCACGTGACTCTAGATGTACCATAGGAAATAATGATCTTGCCAGCAATGCCCACTTCCTGTGACCAAATAATAGAAAAAGTAACAGCATTTTGTTGTTTGTGGAATGCTTTGAGCAGGTGTCCCAGATCATGAAAGGCTCATTTAAAATATCTTTATAGAAATTGCCAAAAAGAACTCTTGCGTCTGGTAAGATTAGCTGATTTTGTGCCAGTGTTAAAACGGATTTTCCTTTCCCTTAGATTCCCAATAGAAGAGACAGCCCTGGATGAAGATCAGCAACAGGATGAGAAAAGAGCAGCTCGAATCAAAGAGCTCCAACGTAAGATAGTGTCAGAGATCCTGCTGCTGGAGCTCTGAGACTAAACCATTCTTCTTAATGTTTCAGTTTTTTTTTCAGTATGTCCATCAAGGTGAAATCTGTTTTGGGAATTGGAGTATTGTGTTTTAGGGACTCAGAATTGTAGGTGCTGGCCCATGCCTGAGCTGAGAGGGTATAAGCCTATGATTCTTGACCTATGAGCGTAAACACAGTGTTGGCCAGTTATTTGACTATGGTGGGTAACACAGGTAAATACAGTGCAGCCTTCACACAACGACAGTGTATTTGATTCAGGGGCTGTTGAACGTTACTGAGCAACGGAAACTTTTTTTACTCTCTTTCTGTGTCTTCTTGCTAATCTGCAGGCAATGGTGAATTCTTAACATGCAGAAAGCTGCAACACAGAGTGACTTGGGCTTGAAACATAGAAAGCTAGCACACAGGTGCAGCAGGTAGTCAGGAAGGCTAATGGAATGTTGGCCCTTAAATCAAAGGGGCTGGAGTATGAGTAGGGAAGCCTTCCTGTAACCGTACAAGGTGCTGGTGACACTGTCTGGAGTATAGTCCCCTGATTTACAAAAGGATATTATTTCATTGGAGACAGTTCAGAGAAAGTTTACGGGGATGATCTCTGTACTGAGGGATTGTCATATGATCAAAGCTTAAAAAAACGTTTGGCTTCTATTCACTGGAGTTTAGAAGAATGAGAGGTGATCTCATTAAAACATATAGGATTCTTAAGGGGCTTGACTGGGTAATTGCTGAGACAAGATGGGTGGCACAGTGGCTCAGTGGTTAGCATTGCTGCCTCAGCGCCAGGGCCTCTGGTTTGATTCCACCCTCGGGTGACTGTAGAGTTTGCACGTTCTCCCTGCAGGGATGGTGAAATATTCTTAGCTCGGATATCCAGTCAATCAGACCTAGGTCTTTTTACTGAGTTAGCTTGGCCTACAGAATCTTTGAATGTTGACTTTTACTCTGGATGAGAGACCACTGCTTTCTTGCAAAACTTTAAGGGCTTTTCTTTTCTGGAAGTGACAGTGACCTGTCTCAGCTTTAGACTTCTTAGGCCTTTTTTTCAACTGCACCATTCCTCAGTCTGTGGCAAAACAGAAACTAACAATGAAAAGGCTGTTGCTGGGCAACCTGTAGCCTAATGCTCCTTCCATCATCCTGGCTAGCAAAATCAACACATTTATTTTATCTGTCTCTAAACATCTGTACCTTTTTCCAAAGGTCACTTTACTTTTACACATTCCTGCTTTTGGCCTTTGAGTTCTGAGAAGTCACATGGTTAAACTCTGCACCCCAAGCATTGTCCACAACTTTACTCGTTTTTTTTCTCCAGTTTTCATTCTAAAAACATGTGGTTCTTGCAGTGGCAAGTTTTGGGTCATGGTAGTGCCTTGCATTTTTCAGCCTGATGCAGTGATTGGCAACCTTGTTTCATGGCTCCTCACCAAGTTCTTGTCTGTCCTGTTTCTAGAGCGCCTGAGTGCAAAGGACGAGGTGCTGAAGCGCACTCTGAGTGAGAAGCTGGAAATCTTCAGTGATATAGCAGAAATCCAGGGGTATCTGGACGCAGGAAGGTCACGTGTGCTGCTTCGAGCTGATGGCCTGGAGTCTCAGCGAGATTCCACACTCAATGATGCACTGAAAGAAGGTGAGTTAGAGCTGTGTATCTGGAACGAGCAGAGTCTGTGTATTCAGTTTGATTTTTAAGAATGCAGGTGTGCCATAAAATCCTATCATTTGATTAACATTGTAGGGACAGGATAGGTCTGTACGTACAATAGCAAAACCAATCACCTTGAATAATAAAGGACAAGTCAAATGCCAGCCCTTCACTTTTTTTGTTTATTCCTTTCTTGTGTTTTTCTGTTCCCCGCACTCCTGCTGTAAAGATATGGACACTTCAGCACAGCCATTCTCTGGCACCTCTCTGGCTGTTCCTCACGGCTTAAGCTGTAACAGTGTTAGCTATTTGACTGAGGCCTCACACCTAAAACAAGACCTGATTTTCCTCATTCCCATCTATGACCCAGTGCACTGAGATTAATTATTGCCCTCCCCTCTTGCCACTCTGGCTAGGTTCAGCTAACTCCCTACTAGCTGTGCAAACTAACTGTCATCTTCCTGATCTGAACCTCACTAAGTGCTGGCAAAGGATTGGTTTGTGCTGCTCCGTCATAAACGTTTGAACATTTTAAATGGATAAAGTTGAAAACCGTACTGATAAAACACCTAGAGGTAGCAGGAACTGCAGATGCTGGAGTCAGAGGTGACACAGTGTGGAGGTGGAGGAACACAGCAGGCCAGGCAGCATCAGAGGAGCAGGAAAGCTAACGTTTCGGAAATGAGGAGGGGTAAGGGAGCTGGGAAATAGAGGAGAGATGGGGCTGGGGAAGGTAGGTGGGATGGTGATTGGTTGGTGGGATGGGTGGGGTGGATAGGAGAGAAGATGGACAGGTTGTGTCAGGTCAAGAAGGGAGGGTTGAACATGGGTTGAAACCCCACCCCTGACCACCAAACCATCATCTCTCAAACCATTCATAACCTCATCATCTCAGGTGACCTCCCACCCACAGCCTCCAACCGCACCATTCCCCAACCCCACACCGCCCATTTCTATCTGCTTCCTAAAATCCACAAATATGACTGCCCCGGCTGACCCACTGACTCTGCCTGCTCCTGCCCCTCTGAACTCCTCTCCGCTTACCTTGACTGTTTTTTTTTTTTTTAACCCCCCCGGTCCAGTAACACCCCAACTATGTCTGGGACACCACCCATGCCCTCCACCACCTCCAAGATTTTAAATTCCCTGGCCCTCAACATCTCACCTTCACCATGGACATCCAATCCCTGCACTACTTGCATTCCCCACACAGATGGCCTAAAAGCCCTCTGCTGCTTCATCTCCTGCAGGCCCAACCTGTCCCCCTCCACTGACACCCTCATCCACTTAACCAAACTCGCCCTTACCCTGAACAACTTCTCCTTCAACTCCTCCCACTTCCTACAGACTAAGGGGGTGGCCGTGGGCACCCGCATGGGCCCAAGCTATGCCTGCCTCTTCATAGGATACGTGGAACTGGCGCTATCCCCCACCTCTTCCTCCACGACATTGATGACTGATTGTATCGGCGCCGCTTCGTGCTCTCGTGAGGAGCTTGAACAGTTCATCAACTTTACTAATACCTTTCACCCAAACCTCACATTCACCTAAACCATCCCTGATACCTCTCTTCTTCCTGGACCCCTCTGGTGACCGCCTTGAAACCAAAGTCAATTTCAAGCCCAGCGACTCCCACAGCTACCTGGAGTACACTTCCTCTCACCCACCCTCCTGCAAGAATGCGATCCCCTGTTCCCAATTCCTCTGCCTCCGTCTTGTCTGCTCCCAAGATGGGGCGTTCCACTCCTGCACATCCCAAATGTCCTCTTGTTTCAAGGACTGTTCCTCCTCCTCCACCTCCTCCCATCCCCTCCCCGCCCCAAACAAAAATAAAGACCAGAATTCCCCCTTGTCCTCACATATCACCCCACCAACCTCCGCATCTAGTGCATCATTTTCCGCCACCTACAATCCGACCCCACTCCTATCTGCCTTTAGTAAGGACTGCTCTCTCTGCGAATCCCACGTCTGCTCCACACTTGCCACTAACCCCACCACCCCCAGCACCTTGCCCTGCAAATGCAGGGGGTGCCACACCTGCCCCTCACCTCCATTCAACACACAAAACAAATCTTCCATATCGGACAGGTGTTCACCCGCACGTCCGCCAACTTATCCATTGTATCCGCTGCTCCTGATGTGGCTGCCTCTGTCGGGCAGACCGTTTTTTACAGCATCTGCGCTCTGTTCACGAAAAATGACAACACTTTCCGGTTGCCAACTATTTTAACTCCCCCTCCCACTCCCTGGGTGACATGTCCATCCTGGGCCTCCAGTGCCACAATGACACCACCTGCAAACTGGAGGAGCAGCACCACATATTCCGCCTCGGGACCCCACAACCTGATAGCCTAAACATGGAATTCACCAGTTTTAAAATCTCACCACCCCCGGCCTCATCCCATGACCAACCCTCCCTCTCAACCCCACCTCCGTGACCTGACACAACCTGTCCACCCTCTCTCCCTCCTATCTGCACCACACATCCCACTGATCAATCCATCTGCATTCACCTATCACCATCCCACCTACCTTCCCCAGCCCCACCCACCTCTCTCTCTTTATTTCCCAGCGCCCTTTGCCCTCCCCATTTCTGGAGAAGGGTCCCGACCGAAACATCAACTTTCCTGCTCCTGCCTGGCCTGTTGTGTTCCTCGAGGTTCATACTGTGATAGAACATCTATCCCTGTTAAATGTGTGCTGTGTTGTTAATTCCCTGTGTAGCTGTCAGCAATTTGTTTTAATTTGTCATAATTGGGAATTTTAAAGAAAATCTTTAAAAACAAAAAAAAGCCTTTGTACATGTGTCTCATCCCTAGGATCTAGCTTCAGACCAATACAATTTCAAGTGACCGAGACACACAGTGTACTTCTGGCATCTAATGTGTGGTATGGTTTTGAAACCAAATCTAATCTAATTGAAATGATGAAGAAGGAGCTGAATTGCCTACCATTGCTCGCAGCCTCAAGGGTTTAAAGAAAAATGTGCTTTCCTCGTGATGTCCACTTGCATTTTTTCAGTGTAAAAGTTACAGCTGCCTTTCTAGAAATGTAACAAAAGATGATCAGGACCATCAGTGATGTCTCCAATGACCTGTGCCTTTGTTTGATGGTATAATGCTGCACTCCAACCCCTTTCACAAACAATGTTAATTCCAAGGCCAAATGAGCAGAAACCAGGAAGAAGCCAGCAGCCAATCTTTGTGAAAAGTGCCTGTCTTTTCATTTGTACAAAGAGACTGTTTGTTTGTTTGCTTATTTAGAAAGGGGGAATGGCCAGTGAGTGTGTGGATGGTACCTGAGGTTTTGCTGATCAAGCCTTGTATAAACTGCGTGACCTTGAATTATTTCAGTCGAAAACCTTCAGAATCTGATTGCTGCTCAGCCCACTGATGTAAGCTGGCAATTGGATGACAGCTTAGGGTCCTCAGCGTTGCCACGACGAGCAGAGACTTTCGGAGGCTACGACAGCAGTTTAGCCAATCCAAGCAAAGGTGAGTTAGAGCGTCCAACTGAGTGAACATTGGAGTCGATTCTTGTCAGCTCTGCAGTTTTCCGTTTAGCTCCTGACTACTTCTCATCCTATTTTCAGATGGCTCCATCAAAAGGAAGTCAAATACGCTCTCTTCCAGCAGCGAGTTGAAGGCGAAGGAGAAAGCTGGATCTCTGGCAAGTTCTGAACCTCAACTGCAGGACATGTGCAGTGACAGTGAAAGTGGATGGATGGTATAGTAATTCTAAAGAACTTTCAATGTTAAAGCTTTCTCTGTGTCCGCCAAGCTTTCCTTCTCAAAAATAACAGTTTCTTAAAACTAAGAATTTAAATGTTGACTTTTCATAGAATCCCTACAGTGTGCAAGCAGGCCATTCAGCCCATCAGGTCCACAGCAGCCCTGTGGAAAAGCATTCCACCCAGATCCACCCCCTTATCCTATCCCTGTAACCCAACATTTTCCATGGCGAATCCACCCTAACCTGCACATCCCTGGACACTGTGGGCAATTTAGCACGGCCAATCCACCCTAACCTGCACATCTTTGGGAGGAAACTGGAGCACCCGGATGAAACCCATGCAGACAGGGGAGAATGTGCAAACTCCACACAGAATCCCCTTCCTATCTGATGGAATGGTGTGACTAGTAATTAACCTGCTCATAACAAGAATCACAATTGTTTAGAAATTACAACACTCCCAACAAGCCATGTAGCTCAACTTGTTTATATTTTTAATCCCTGAGTTTATTTTTGTGCCTAACTCCAACTGGTTAGGGCCACTTTTAGAATACTGTGTTCAATTCTAGTTTCCCTGCTATAGGAAGGATGTTATGAAACTTGAAAGGGTTCAGAAAAGGTGCACAAGAATGTTGCCAGGGTTGGAGGGTTTGACCTGTAGGGAGAGGTTGAATAGGCTGGGGCAATTCTCCCTGAAGCGTCGGAGGGTGAGGGGGTGACTTCGTAAAAGTTCATAAAATCATGAGGTAATGAGTATAATCCCAGACTACTCAATCTCCCTCATAAGACAACCCTCTCAACTCTAGAATCAACCTAGCTAACCTCCTCTGCACCCCTTCCAGTGCCAGTACATTCTTTTTCAAGTAAGGAGACTAAAACTACACACAGTACTCCAGGCGTGGCCCCATCAGCCCCTTATACAGCTGCAGCGTAACCTCCCTGCTTTTAAACTCAATCCCTCTAGAAATGAAGGACAATATTCCATTTGCCTTTTTAATTACCTGCTGCACCTGCAAACCAACTTTGTGATTCATGCACAAGGACACTTGGGTCCCTCTGCACAGCAGATGCTGCAATTTTTCACCATTTAAATAATCCATTTTGCTGTTATTCTTACCAAAAAGGGTGGCAACTGCTATTGCAATGCAATTCCTGCCAAAATTCATGTTAATGCAAAAAGTCAACATGGGTATAAAGTGGAGAAACATGGTTCATCTAGAGATAGTAGGGACTGCAGATGCTGGAGAATCTGAGATAACAAGGTGTAGAGCTGGATGAACACAGCAGGCCAAGCAGCATCATAGGAGCAGGAAGGCTGATGTTTCGGGCTTGGACCCTTCTTCAGAAATGGGGGAGGGGAACGGGGTTCTGAAATAAATAGGGAGAGAGGGGGAGGCGGATAGAAGATGGATAGAGGAGAAGATAGGTGGAGAGGAGACAGACAGGTCCAAGAGGCGGGGATGGAGCCAGTAAAGGTGAATGTAGATGGGGAGGTAGGGAGGGGATAGGTCAGTCCAGGGAGGACGGACAAGTCAAGGGGGTGGGATGAGGTTAGTAGGTAGGAAATGGGGGTGAGCCTGCCCTCTTGACCTGTCCATCCTCCCTGGACTGACCTATCCCCTCCCTACCTCCCCACCTACACTCACCTTTACTGGCTCCATCCCCGCCTCTTTGA